TTTCACTGTGAACTGAGGACAGAGGTTCACCGCAGGGTGTGGAAACATTAGAATGCAATGTGATCCTGTGGGCCTGTGGACACACAGTGTCCAGGGTTCACTGCAGGAGGACATCCTGTCGCTGCAGGAGGACATCCTGTCACCTTAGTGCCCCTTCATCCTGTTCTAGCGAAAGCCACTTGGGTGTTGACCACTTCTTTTTAGGTAAGTTCACTGCCAATGCAGTATTCTGGATGTTCACTTTACTAGTTACATATAATTTAATTTTTTAAGTTTTATTTATTTTTATTGGAAAGGCAGGGCTACAGACAGAGAATGGGGATACACACAGAGAAAGAAAACTTTCAACCACTGTTTCACTCCACAAATGACCACAAAAGCCAGAACTGAGCTAGCCTGAAGTTGGGATCCTGAAGTTGACCCAACAAAGCCCGATCAGGGGAAGGGTAGGAAGAGGCAGGAACCAGGAATTAACTGGGTGGGAGGGATCGGTTTACTTCCCCGCAAGGTCAAATTTACTTGGGCATGGCAGATCCTGGGGGCTCCTGCCGATTCCTTTCCACAAGGAAAAGGTTTGAAAGGGGGGCCCAGAGCAGTGGCCTAGTGGCTAAAGTCCTCGCCTTGAACATGCCAGGATACCATGTGGGCACTGGTTCTAATCCCGGCAATCCCGCTTCCCATCAGCTTCCTGTTTATGGCCTGGGAAAGCAGTCAAGGATGGCCCAAAGCCTGGGACCCTGCACCCAAGTGGGAGATCTAGAAGAGCTCCAGACTCCTGGCTTCTGATCAGCATAGCACTGACCGCTGCGGTCACTTGGGGAGTGAATCATCCAACAGAAGCTCTTCCTCTCTGTCTCTCCTCTTCTCTATATATCTGACTTTACAATAAAAATAAATAAATCTCAAAAAAAGAAAGAAAAAAAAAAAGAGTTGAATGGGATTCCAGGCTCTGTGGAGGAGGAGGTGGCCACAGCAGGAGCCACATCATTCTCAAACACTTGACAACACTTGGCTAATCTACAGTTACTGGAAGGGATGGTGGTGTTTACCATACTTGAAGTGTCTCAGGAAGTTTCTGGGTAATCGCCTTGCTGCGGTTGAGCCTGTCTGCTGACTGGCAGTGCTGCCCTGCCTGTGATAAGGTGCCTGCTGTGGCTGATTACAGAATTTTCAGACCTGTGGTGAAACAGTTCCTCATAGTGTGGGGCAGCTGCATGATCTGTCTTTTTAAAAAATATTTGTTAGTTCATTTGGTAGCTAGGGTTACAGCAAACTAATTCATCCACAGGATCATTCCCCAGTTGACCAGAAACGGGAGCCTGGAACTGCACCTGGATTTCCCATGTGGGTGGCAGGAATCCAAGTACTCAGGCTAACAGCTGCTTTCCTAGGCAGGGAGTTGGATTAGAATGGAGCAGCTAAGACTATTGCCCATATGGGATGCTGGCATCAAAGGAGGTCAATTAACCTTCAGTGTCACGACGCTGTCCCTTACTATGAAAGTAAGGCTTTACTAGTCATCAGAAGAATGGCACATCAGAGATTTATTTCCAGAAAATTAATGAATATTTACTGAATAGTGACAGCCAAGATTATAAAGGCTATGGTAGAGAGCCAGTACAATGACTCTGCTGCCTAATCCTTGAAGCACAACAGCCCATATGGGCACCTGTTCCTGTTCTGGCTACTCCACTTCCCATCTAGCTCCCTGTTTGTGGCCTAGGAAAGCAATAGAGGATGGGTTCCCTGCACTCACATGGGAGACGCCGAAGAGGCTCCTGAGTCCTGGCTTCAGATTGGCTCACCTCCAGTCATTGCAACCCAACTGGGGAGTGAAGCAACAGATGGAAGATCTTTTTCCCTGCTCCCCTTCTCTCTGAAGGTCTACCTTTCCAATAGGAAAAAAAAATCATTAAAATAAATAAATAAATAAATAAATACCATAATGCAGATTCTGCTGACCCCCCCAAAAAAAATGTTTCAAAAACTAAGAGATGTTTTGTTATTGAAGTTTTATGCTATTTAAGTCTTTCATTTGAAATCATTTTGGGCCAGCAGGGGTGCTTGCCTTGTGCCCATGCGGGTGGGCTCAGGGGGCCTGGGCGTGTGGGCTTGCCGGAAGTCTGCAGGATTGCACCAGCAGCGGTGTGCAAGGGATTTTTCCACATGCTTGGTCCCCGGGACAGGGTCAGGGGAGGGCAAGGGAGAACCCTAAGTTAGTATATTGGTGTGGTGTGATGTTGGGCCAGGTTTGGAAAACTTGGAATGTGCTTGGATCTTGGATGGCTGGAGAGGTTGCGTCTCGGGCCAGCATACATGCTTATGAGCTTGGGACTCTAGTGAGCAGGCAGAGCCCCAGGCCAGCATACCACCCTGCTGGAAGACTAGGCTTAGGAAGACTAGACTGGGGAACCCATATACTCCCAGACACAGAGACTGTGAATGGCTCAGGGAAGGGGGCAAGGGACTCTGTGGGAGGGAGGACCACTGAGGGAGTAGGTTGCAGATGAAGAATGACCTCTGAGGGACTTCCATTGACAAGGTCACTGTACTTGCAGGTAAGCAAGGGGTCTGAGACCAGGTGTAGGGTCTGAAGTCTTTCGGCTGTCTTTTGCTCTTTCCTGGGCTATATTCATGGAGCTGGATTGGGAGTGGAATGGCCAGGAAACAAATTGGCACCCATATGAGATCCCGGCGCTTGCAAGGTGAGGATTAACGCATTGAACCATCATGCTGGGCACTATTAATTCATTCTTTTTAAAATATGAAAGTTTTTATTATGTGTGCAAGAATTCACCAGTAAGACAATTTGACTCTTAGATTTTCTTTGTAATTTTTTTATTACTAAGTTAGTCTCTCATTTTAAAAGTTTTATTCATATTTTCTGTTCCTTTTTGAGTTAGATTGTCTTCCTAGAGATGTGTTTATTTCAACTTAGCTGCCTAAACTGCTAGCATACGTATATGCTTTTTTTTCTCCTTAGAAGTCACTAATAGTGTTCCCACTATTGTCTTTTTTTAAGATTTTATTTACATTTTAAATTGGAAAGTCAGATTTACAGAGTGAAGGATCTTCTATCTGTTGGTTCACTCCTCAAATGGTCCCAAAGGCCAGAGCTGAGCTGACCCACAGCCAGGAACCTGGAGCTTCTTCTGGGTCTCCCACATGCGAGCAGGGTCCCAAGATTTGGGCCTCCCTGACTAAAAGCAGCTGGGATTAGAACCGCATGCAAGGTTAGGACTTTAGCCACTAGGCCATTGCACCGGGCCCTCCATCATCATCTCTGATGTTTGTTGCACTTCCTTGTTTCTGCTTGTTCATTGCATTTCATCCCCGCCTTGTATCTCTTCGGAAATGTTAGTGGCTTTTCTTCTCCTGGCCTTGGTGTTGTGTGTCTTCGTTGTCTTTTGGTTAGGCCATGGCAAGGGTTTCTGGTACTGCTGAGCTCATCACAGCAATATGCTTTCATCTGTTGTCTTCGTTTTTCCATTTTTGACTTCATTAATCTCCGATCCTCTGTTTTTCCTTCTGCTGAGTTTATGTTTAAATTAAGCTTTCTCTAATTGTTTCTAGCTTTCACAATAATTTCTTTTTTAAAAACATTGTGTTGCTGACAATGTTTACATAGTTGAGAAGGATGCATGCCGTGTGGACTACTGATTAGGATGAGAAGGGTCAACGAAAAGTGGATCAGACCATTGTTTTCAGTTTCTTTTTCTTCATTCTGTATCTGGAGGAAGAGGGGAGAGAGGAGGAGAAGCTGCATCCATCTTAATTGCATCAGTACCCGGGCCGGTGCTATGCCGATCCGAAGCCAGGAGCCAGGAGCCTCTTCCGGGTATCCCTCACGGGTGCAGGGTCCCAAGGCTTTGGGCCGTCCTCGACTGCTTTCCCAGGCCACAAGCAGGGAGCTGGATGGGAAGTGGAGCTGCCAGGATTAGAACCAGTGCCCATATGGAATCCTAGCGGGTTCAAGGCAAGAACTTTAGCCACTAGGCCACACTGCCGGGCCCTCTTTGTATGTTTTGAATGCAAATATTTTCTCTGTGTTCGTAGTGTGAACTCTTTACTCACTTAAGAATGCACGTTCGGGGGCGTTCATCGGACGGAAGATTTTTTCTGTCTCTCCCCTTCTCTATATATTTATCTGACTTCGCAATAAAAATAAATAAACCTTTTTTTAAAAATAAAGAATGCATATTCGAGTGGGCGCAGGGATGAATGCTTTAGTAACCCATGCTTGGGGGGGGGGGCGGGGAAAGAAGCCTCCTCCCACTTGTTATGGGATGCAATATTTCAAACAGCAGCTTAATCCATTTGCTCCACACTAGTTTAATCCGTTGCATCACAACACCCGTCCCTTTGTTTTCATTTGAAAGAAGGGCAGAGGCGTTTCTGCCCAAAGAAGCAGTGAGCTTGTGTTCACTGTTCCAGAAAGCTTGTCTCCACCCTGCTCCACACTCTGCCCACTGCACTGCCTCGGCCCTATGTTAGCAATCCCAAAGAGTCTGAGGTCTGGCCACAGAGCCGGGCAGTCATGCAGAAGGATTATTCCTGGAGGACACTGAAAGGGGAATGTCACTTGGCTTTGATTCCTGGTCTCTACAACCCTCCACTTCCTAATCCATAACGTGCGCCAGCAAACTGCACCAGAAGGTGCTCCCCCGGTCAGGTCCGGTCCCTATTCTGAGTCTGAGACCATCCAGGCCTGCTGAGGTGTTGGCCACACCTTCAGGTGGACGGCACCAGCACTGCCCCAACCCATTTTCTAACTAATTAAGAGAGCACCAATGGGGAACATCTTACCCCATCCACTTGGTAGCTTTCCCCACCCAACAAGGGGTGGGGGGAGGGGGGAATGCTTAAAATCCCAAGACCCTTCCTCAAACCCTTGGTGTCTCTCCTCCGCTTTCCAGAGGCACCCCACCTCCTGGCTTTCTCTCGGGAGGTGCTTCCCTTCCCTCTCCCCTGCTCATCTTGTCCCTTCGCAAATAAACTTTTCTGTTTGCAACAGATTCCCAGCGTTTTAAGTCTATACTAAGCTGAGGAAAGAACCCTCCGGGCATTTCTGGTAACAGAGTCTCCGAGTGCTTTCCCTAAAGGGCCTCTTCCGAAAAGAAAGGACGTCTGGAACAGAGCCCGCAGTTTCTTATCTAGAATCCGCCTCCAGCAGCCAATGGCCTCTTTCCATTCCTCCCCCGCGCTGCAAACAACTTGAACTTCCTCAGTAAGAGCAGAATAGAAAAAATCGCTCAGCCTGGCAATCTGCCCCCTCCCCCCGGGGCCACTCTCCAAAGCGGGGGGCAATGCGGTGGGCGCTGGTCCTCTGGCAGATGAGCTTCCTGGAGGTCGTCCAGCTCCGTGAGTAGGGGCAGGGGGTTGGGAGCACACCCAGGTGGGGCTTTTCCCACAGTTTCTGGGCGGAAGCGATCACACGCCTGTCACTGTGAGGAAGAGGTTAAAAACACCGTTCTCTGGTTCAAAGAATTAAAAGTGCGAAAAGGCAGGGCCCCATGGCCATGCTAGCAGTTCTCAGGGAACAGAACTTGTGTGTGCAAAACTAACTAGTCTGGTAGGAGTTGTGAGTGACCCTTTCACAGCCACTTAAGGCTGGTCAACCACGTTTAAGACACTTCTGGTTTAAGACGCTTCTGGTTTAAGATGCTTCTGGTTTAAGACGTTTCTGGTTTAAGACGCTTCTGGTTTAAGACGCTTCTGGTTTAAGACGTTTCTGGTTTAAGACGCTTCTGGTTTAAGACGTTTCTGGTTTAAGACGCTTCTGTTCCAAGAAGCTTCTGTTCCGGTGTAGGCATCCATCCTTGTTGTTTGTTTGTTTGGGGGAGGGACTGCCCTGGATTTATTGGACCTAAGAGCCCCCTCCCTCCCATCCTGCTGCCCTCAGGGAGATTCCGGTAGTCCCGCCCCAGGGAGAGGGCGGAAACCCTAACAGAACAAATAGTTCAGATGCCTAATTGCTGATTCCTATCTTCCTCACTCCACAGTCCACAAACTCCCATTCTCTTAAAAAACAAAAATCCTAATTTTCTTAGGCCTCTCACCCCTGCTAATGCCTGCCTCGTATCTAACAGTCACCAACACCTGGAGGCTAGACCAAACCTTAAGAGGAAAAACAATTGTCCTTTAGCATCTTTCTTGCACCTGCCTTTCCCAGTCGTGCCCTGGACATGGTCTTTAATTTTATAATAATATAAAAAACAAGCAGAGTGGAGCAGCGGAAGAGTGCTGGGCCCATAATTTTATCATAGTATAAAAAAATTATCATTTATCTTCTCTCTATAATTTCTCTCCCTAGCCTTGCAAGGCACACGGATCCTTCATTTCCTGTGTGTGAGAGAAAAATAGGTAAAATTAAGTATTTGTGGAGCCATTGACAAGGTGTAATGCTGAACTTCTGACATCCCTGCTAGACACTGGTTTGAGTCCCAGCTGTTTCACTTCTGATTGCGCTCCCTACTCATGGCCTGAGAAAGCAAGGGAGATGGCCCAAGTTCTTGGGCCCCTGCACCCACGGAGGAGAGCTGGAAGAAGTTCCTGGCTCCTGGCTTTGGTTCCATTGGCTCAGCTCTGGCAGTTGTGGCCATCTGGGGAGTGAAGCAATGGATGGGAGAATCTTTTAAGGGCGGGGGAAGAGTGGAAATGCAACAGTAATATGTTAAAAATGTTAAGTGTTTGTGGCTCGGCGCTTGTTCATTTGTGCATCTGTGGTATTTGGATATTTAGTACCAGGTTATTCTGGATTTTTTTTTTTTTTGAGACAGAGAAGTTTATTTGAGAAGTGACCAGTTAAACAGGGAGAAAAGGGAAGAAGAAAGCACCTCCCAAGAGAAAGCCGGGAGGAGGAAGTAGGGTGCCTCTTGAGAGAGGGAGAGACACCATATTCTGGAATTTGGTCAGTATGTTTAGGAATGAAACGTGCTGAGACCAGCGGTGCCCTCTAGCGGCTTTGCCGCACTAGCTGAAGCATTTAGAAGCAGCCAGATGGTGAGGCACCTGCTGGGGAAGAGCCACAAGCCAGGTGCAGTCAGGGGGCCTGGGGAAGAGGTTTCCGTAGTGAAAAACGAAAAAGCCTGAACTTCCCCTCCCCTCTTCTGCTTTCTCGGTGCGCATGGAAAGTCCCTTTGCGAGCATCCCAGATCCCCTTCTCTCTGCATGGTGCAGTCCTCTTATATAAACACCTCCCGAAGCCCAACCCAAGACTCTCTCAGTGCTCCATGCTGCGACTCATCCCATTCAAGACCACTCCCACCATAACCCCAACTTCTGGGTATCACACTAAATAGTTAATGACACAGATCAAAGCGGTAGGCTGCTTGTAGCCAACTTAGGTCCTCCTGCCCTATGCCCACAGCCCACTCTGGTCCCCACGCTGCTCCTCTATAGTGAGAGCTTGAATTTATTCTTCCCTGTGATTCAGGAAACTTTTGTTTTGCATCTGGGACTATTTATACTGAAAAAGGTTTAAAACAAACAAAAACAGGTAGCAGTTTCCCCAGGCTATGAATCCTTCAATTGATAGAAAACCCAATGTGTCAGCAGCAGGAGAAAGCACCTCCCATTTTTGTGGTCTTCCCTGGCAGGCAGATGGTAAATCTATAGTTCAGTAGTTCTCCTTGACCACGAGTTACAGAAGCAGGACAATCCCACCCACATCCCCACCCACTCCCAGGACTCAGGTGAAAGTAGGCAGTGGGTACCTTCCTGGAAAGCTAACATTTGAACAAGACTTAAATTAGCCAGCAGGGAGACTAAACCTCAAGGTTGGAAAGGCATGTCAGCGATATCCCAGAAATCCCTTGCCCTGGTTTTCAGATCTGCCAGTGGATATTATGGATTGGCCCAGACTGGTCTGTCCCCAGATGTGACTCACATGTGTGCCAGTGGGTACTGTAACCTGGCATAGTCTGGGCTGCTTCTTGCCTTGATTCTTTTGCTCACCTACAGGAACAGTTCGTTCCAATGAAGGAATTTCCCAAGCTCCTCCATCCAGTCTCCCCCCAGTGGCAGTTCTTGCACAAACCAGTGGGTCCTTCGCCCAGGCTGACTTTGTCCATCTTCTGTCCTGGCAGGAACAGTGGCCTTGCTCAACCAGCCCACACCCATTCTGGTTCTTGCTGTTGGGTGTTGCAGTCCAGAGATACCTGGTCTGTGCCCACAGCTTTCACATGGTTCAGCAGGAGCCAAAACCTATCCTTGCCTGTTCTATATCCAACCTGGCTCACAACCAGTAGGGGTCAGAGTCTAGCCCAATCTGTCACTCCCCAAATCCAGTGCGCACCAGCTCCAGTGGAGGCAATAGCCATGTCCAGCCCAGCTTGCTGCCACAAATCCTACTCTCATCCTCACCAGTTGGAACTCCAACCCATCTGGGGCATCCCCTTAGATCTCCAGCCCATCAACAGTTCTTCGGCAAGCCAGCAGGGATTGCAATACCACAGGGATAAGCCCACATTTCCCTCACAGATTATGCTATCAGACCCTCTTCTCTGACTCTTGTTCTCCCCTCCAAACCAACTTGATCTTGGATCTTCCTCTCTCTCTCCTCTTCTCTGTATTTCTGACTTTTCAATAAAAATAAATCTTTTTTTTAAGATTTATTTTATTTTTATTGGAAAGGCAGATATACAGAGAGGAGAGACAGAGAGGAAGATCTTCCATCCGATGATTTACTCCCCAAGTGAGCGCAACGGCCGATGCTATGCCGATCCGAAGCCAGGAGCCTCTTCCAGGTCTCCCACGCGGGTGCAGGGTCCCAAAGCTTTGGGCCGTCCTCGACTGCTTTCCCGGGCCACAGGCAGGGAGCTGGAAGGGAAGCAGGGCTACTGGGATTAGAACCGGCACCCATATGGGATCCCGGGGCATGCAAGGCGAGGACCTTAACCACTGCGCCATTGTGCCGGGCCCAATAAAAATAAATCTTTAAAAAATTTGTTTTATTAGAAAGTCAGATTTACAGAGAGGAGACTTCCATCCACTAGCTTACTCCACAAGTGGCCACAATGGCCAGAGAGTTGAACTATCAAAGCCAGGAACCAGAAGCCAAGAGCTTCTTCTGGGTCTTCCACATAGGTGCAGGGTCCCAGGGGCTTGGGCCATCCTAGATGGTTTTCCCAGGCCACAAGCAGGGAGCTAGCTGGAAAGTAAGTGGAGCAGCTAACATAGGAATCAGTGCCCATATGCGATCCTGGAGTCTGCAAGGCTAGGATTTTAGCCACTACTAGGCTACCATGCCAAGCCGCACCCTTGTTTATTTAAAACCCAGTTACAGAAAGAATAAGTGAGCAGTAGGAAGCATCTGCTGATCACAATAACTAGGGCTGGGCGGGGCCAAAGCAGGAGCAGGAGCTCTTTTTGTTGTTGTTGTTGTTTCAGACAGAAAAGTTTATTTGCAAAGGGATCAGATGAGCAGGGAAGGGAAAAGGAAGGGGAAAAGCACCTCCAGAGGGAAGCACTTCCAGAGGGAGGTGGGGTGCCTCTCGAAAGAGGAGGGAGAGAGAGATACCCAAAGCAGTAACTCTTTAGCTCTTCAGGGACTGAAACCATTAGCAGCCAGCACAGCAACCAGAGCTCGTACAGGGGCCCCTCGCTGCAGGTGCTGGTGGTTTAACTCACTGCCCTCCCTTCTGTGGGTTACTTGGCTGCTTACTGTATCTCTGTAACCTCTAAGTGAGGTTTTTCAAGTGTGACTTTTTTAACTTGCGATTTCCTTTTCTGCACTTCAAATAACACTTTGCTGTCACAAGGCTGGGTTTTCTTTTTTAGTTTATTTTTAAATGAATTTATTTTAAATGTTTGTTGATAGGTGAGGGGATTGCAGACCCATGCAGTTCTCCAGGAGAGATGCGAAGGGGTCAGGGAGGTAAGGGGATTACCCTGACCTCCTTTCTGAAGAAGAGGGAGATGTTACACTGCTCTTTCCTGCAGTATCCCATCAGCACCAGGGACAGAGAAGGTCCCCTGGTTTCTAGGCAGAAGAATGTCCTGAGGGTGTTATTTGAGTAGTCTTGATTGATGGTGTTGGCTTATTTGCAGCGGTAGGAGATACCACTTCCAATAGTTGCCTGCTGTCTATGTTTTGGTATCTCCAAAGCCTTAGGTATTTGGTGGAGAATTTGGCCTGTAGCATTATTCAGCCTGCTCTTCTTTCCATCTTTGGGTGAGGTACTCAAGGCCTTCTGTTGAATCAGAGAGGCTGGCTGTCCTGTCTTTCATGTTTGGTTTAGTATGTTGTCTCTACACTGAGTCAACAGCGAGGACAGCCCAGTCCCACAAGCATGTTCTCTGAGGCCAGATCAGATGCCCATGTTCCCTGAAGTTGGGATCAAGTGGAGTGAAAGACCTACTGGGTTGGTTCCCAGATCTGGCTCTCACATGCACCAACTTAACACTGCAGCCCAGCCCAACCAATCCTACCTCCCAAACCCAGACTCATGTGCACAGACGAGTTCTGCAACCTGGTCAGGGTGACCCACAAGAACCCTGATCAGGCCTGTACCTAGACCCAACACTTTCTTATACCAGCAGGTGCTGTGGCCTAGCTGAGGAAGCCCCGAGGTACCCCTCCAAGCGTAGCCCCTGACCTGATACTCATGCCCAGTATGCCCCCAGCCCCAGTTCCTGTGTGTGCTGCCAGATGCTGCAACCTAGTCCAGCCCAGCCTGCCCCTAGCCCCGGCTCTCGTGCACTCCTGCAGGTGCTGTGGCTTAGATGGGTATCCTCTATCAGGCCTACTTGCAGCACTGATTCTCATATGTGCTGGCAAGTGCTGCAGCCTAGCTGAGCATGATCCACCCCCTGCCCTTATACTCACCAATGGGTGCTGTGATGTGTTTGGGATAACCCTGAAAAATCTCCACCAGACCCACTGCCAAGCATGGCACTCAGACATGCCAGCAGGTGCTGTGACCCAGCCTGTCCCAGTCCGCCTCCAGCCATGGCTCGTGTGTGCAAGCACATACGCTTGTGGCAGTAGTGATGGTAGCAGGATGGCCCGACTGGCGTGTGCCCACAGTGGCATGGTGGGTGGTCTACCTCCTTCTCCCAGACCACTTCTTTTTTTTTTTTTTTTTTGAGATTTGATTTTTATTTGAAAGGAAGATTTTTACAAAGAGAAAAGGAGAGATACTGAGAAATCTGTCCACTAGTTCTCTCCCCAGATGGCTGCAACAGCCAGGGCTGAGCCGATCCAAAGCTGGGAGCCAGGAGCTTCTTCCAGTTCTGCCATGTGGGTGCAGGATCTTGAGGCTTTGGGCGATCCTCGACTGCTTTCCCAGGCCATAAGCAAGGAGCTGGATCAGAAGTGGAGCAGCTGGGACACAAACCAGTGGAAAATACAGGATGCTAGCACTTGCAGGCAGATTAGCTTGCTATGCCATCACATCAGCTTCTCCACCCAGATCTTTAAAAAAAAAAAAAAAAATAGAATAGACAACTATGTGTATAGTGGCATTAAGCAGGCCCAGAATGCCCGCCAGCCTTTGGCTGCTTTTCTCCCAGCAGTGTAACCCTTGCCTAGGCCAATACCTACAGCTGGAGACCCCCTTGTGTTTCTAACAAAATGACTTTGTTCTAGAATTAAAGAGCTGGGGCCCCCAAGGGAAGGTGGATCCCCCAGGATACAGATGATGACAGTGACAGCAAAGTGAGATGAGAAGGGGACATGGAAGGATCAGAGGTTGAGATGCTGGCCCCTAGCAGGGAGCCAGAAGGAAGGTACTGAGAACCCCTCAACACATGTTCTGCGGGTGTCTAGGTCTTCCCCTGGCACAGGTCCCAAGTTCTGCCAGAGGACAGCCCTCAGGGTGCCTTGCACTAACATTTTTGTTTCTCCAAGTTCTCAGTGCCCACCAGGCAGGTATGAACTCCTTGGTACTGCTAAGTTGTCCTGAAATGGCCTAACCATCATCTCACATGGGGTCCCGTCTCTCCCATCTCGAATGCAGGGACACACGAGGACATGAGCCCTCCTTCCCTACACACTGGGAGCTGTGCTCTCACTCAGCAAGCCACGTGGCTCACCCTGAATTGCTCTTCCTACCACAGGCTCACACTCTCTGCAGTATTTTTACTTTGCTTCGTCGGAGCCAGCTCCAGGAGTCCCTGTCTTTTCTGCCTCTGGCTTTGTGGACGGCCAGCGCTTCATCCTCTACGACCATAAGACAAGGAAAGCCGAAGCTTCTGTGCAGTGGCTGAGGGAGGCACCCAGTTACTTTGAGGATGAAAGCAAGATCTTCAGCAACCGGATGAAGATTTTCCAGCTGAGCCTGAACAATGTGCAGCAGTACTACAACCAAACCCTGAGCCAAGGCCCACATCTGGAGCAGCCGCACGTGCCAGCAGGTGGGTGGGTGAAGGGGAGAGGGTGGGCAGGAAGCTCTCTCTGTTGAATTCCTATGGGGAGGAGTGCACACAGGTGTCACTTGAGGATGAAGGCCACCCAGCCTGGTCACAGGCCACCTGCTAGGTCTGTGTCATCATTAGTCACTCAGAGTCTCACTGCATCACAGACACCTGCCCTATGCCTTTTTTTTTTGCTTTTTCAACTGCTTTATTAACTTAATGGTGTGAAATGAACATCTTTCTACGCAAGTTGATGACACTCCCCTGCTGACAAAAACAGATAAGGTCAAAGAGGAAAATGTGCAATCAGCACATGGCAAGAGAACACCAAAAGATTCACTGTTAAGCTTACATCAAGAAATGTTAGTTTGAAAAGCAGGGGGATTATTACCATTAGCCTCAAGATTCAAGGCATAAGGCAAAATTCATCATGATGATCATGCTGGGGGGGGGTCCCCTATAAGGATGCGCAGACTGTATCTGTTATAAGCAGGTGTCTGTACTCTGAGAATTGTCATTTCCATGGGGAGGAGCCCATCCACCCATCTGGGAGTGCTTTCTGGGTTCCTGGAGGCACAGCCAGGGTGCCAGAGGCACCCCGCTCCAATCTGTACTTCCTAGGCACCTGCTGGATCTTTTCCCTAAACAAGTAGATCTGAGCCAGGGGCCAAACCCGATTGCCTCAAGCAAGAAGGTCCCCCAAAGAGAAGCCTAGGGGGCAGGCAAGTGGGCTCTGATGGTGCACAGGTGCATCTGCCCTTGCTGACTCCTGGCCCATGGGGGTTGGGCAGGATCTCACATCTTGCAGTTCACCTACGGCTGTGAACAACAAGATGACGGCAGCATCACCGGGCATTGGCAATACGGCTATGATGGTGGCGACTACCTGAGCCTGGATTTCGACTCGCTGCAGTACACAGCAACCTCGCCCTTGGCCCACTTCACCAAGCAGAAGTGGGAGGCCAGTGGGGACTTCACAAACAAACTCAAGACATACCTGAAGAAGGAATGCATCGTATGGTTGCACAAATATCTGAAGTCCCGAGGGGAAAACTCTAGCCGCACAGGTCAACACCTCCCTTCTTCCCAGCCATGCTGCCCTCCACCACATGCCTGGCAGGGACCACTTGTCCCTGCCTAGTTGGGGCAGTGCAGCCAGGGGGACCCCAGAGTTAACTCCAGTCTACAGGTGCAGGCTCTCTAGTGTGGGTGGGTCCATGTGCAAAGGGTGGAGACCCTACAAACAGGAGCTGGGGATGTAGGGTCCTCCCCGGCAGTGCTCCCCTGCCTCTTTCCCAAACCTACCTCAGGGTGAAAGAACTCCCTGGAGACTCTGGGCATGGGCCCAGGGTGAACCAGATTCTCTCATGGCCGCTGCTTTCCCCCAAGACATCTGGCAGTTTCAGGTACCTAGGAACACCATCTGGCAGCATGGCCTGAGGTCCTGGGGACAGGGCACAGAGAAGAGTGTCAGGCAGCTACTGGGCCCCCTCTTTTCGTCCCTGTTCAGCCCACTTACATAGCAAATGGCCCTGCCACTCATCCCCTGCGCCTTATCTGGCCAGCCCCATGCTGACAGGAGCAGTGACATCCCTAACCTTGGACTGGTTGCCTTATCCCAGCAATCTCTGTTTGCCTGTCGCAGACCCGCCCACAGCACATGTAACCCATCACCCAGTCTCTGACCAGAAGGCCACCCTGAGGTGCTGGGCCCTGGGCTTCTACCCCAAGGACATCACACTCACCTGGCACCGAGATGGGGAGGACCTGACCCAGGACATGGAGCTGGTGGAGACCAGGCCTTCAGGAGATGGAACCTTCCAGAAGTGGGCAGCTGTGCTGGTGCCTGCTGGAGAGGAGCAGAGATACACATGCCACATGGAGCATGAGGGGCTACCTGAGCCCCTCACCCTGAGATGGGGTAAGGAGGACAGGGAGGCAGAGCCTTCAGCAGGGGCGGGGCTGAGCCATGGGGTCAGAGCCCCTTATTGTCCCTTCCCCTCTCAGAGCCTCCTCAGCCCACTGTGCCCATGTGGGGACTTGTCAGTTGCCTGGTCCTCCTGACAGCTGTGCTCATTGGAGCTGTGGTCACTGCTGTGATGATGAAGAGGAAGCGCTCAGGTAGGGCAGGGTGAGGGGCGGGTCTGAATCTCCTATACCCCAAGGAGAAGGTTCTCCTGGCCTGGTCTCAAAGAACATCATGCACGTACAGAAGAGCATGCATGATTGCAGGCCTTGTGCTGAACTGCTCTGTAATGCCAGTGGAGGGTAGGACAGTCTGTTGGTGACAGGCAGCAGTCACAGGCCAGTCCTTGCTGAGGACAGACCTGCAGGAGGGAATGGCTCCGGCTTTGCCCTTCCCACTCCCTGCCCCAAGTGCTGATCCTGCTGGAGTCTGCTCTGTAAACTGCCTCAGCAAGGGCTCTCTAGGGCTCTTGGTCTGCCTTCTCCAAGGCCTCCAGGAGACTTTGTGTTCTCACAGGTGAAAAAGAAGAAACTATGCTGAAACTAAAATGTAAGTGTGAAGGGAGAGACCCGTGTCCTTAGGCGGTGTGGGCAGAGCCATGGGGGCCTTACCCGCCCCAGAAATTCTTTCTTAGGCCACAACTGCCCTGGGCTCTCACAGAAGCTTGGTGTTGGTCTAGCATTTTTGTAAAGGATGGGGTGTGGTGGGGGTGCCCAGCTGGGCATTCCTTGGAGTTGACATGACTGAAGACCTGCACAAGGAGGAGGTGTGGTGGGGCACCCAGCTGGGCCCTGGGCATTCCTTGGGGTTGACATGACCATGGGGACCTGCATGGGGAGGGAGTGTTGGGCATCCAGCCGGGCCCTTGAGTGTTCCTTGGGGTTCACATTTTAAGTGATGAGTGATGCCCTCCAGAGTGCCCACATGTGACCCATGTTGTTCTCTGATGAATTTCTTCCATAGCATAAACAGCTACTAGGTGGCTAAATGTCTGCAAGTGAGTGTCTGCCCGGGCACTGAAACAAGAAAATAAGAAGAAAACTAGAAATAAGATCTGGGGGTGGGGTGGGGGGAGGGCTTTGGAAGGGGTGGTGGGAATCCCAGTGCCTATACAACTGTGTCATATAATTAAAAAATAAATAAATAAAATAAATAAATAAATGGGAAAAAAAAGAAACAAAGAAGATCGTAAATTGTTGCAGCATCTTTCCAACAGGACGCCAGAGCGGTGGTTGGGTGTTCTGGGCACCTCACAGAGAATATTTTCTGCTCAGGCTTCTAACAACTGCACATCCACCAGGCGCTTGTATGAACCTGTGGTGGGGTCCGTGCAGTGGGTGTGGATGGCATGAAGGTGTGAAGAGAACAGCTCCCCTGTGTGGCAAGGCCCCGGGGAGTTTCCAGCTGTTAGGCAAGGCCCGACGGATGTCTCTGACCACCGTGACAGTTTCACCACCTTTTTGCATGGACACTCAAGCACCCCACTAAAAATTCTGTAATCTGTTGAGGCACTGTTGTTTGCCCCTGTGAGATGGCTTTTGCCACCAACGTGAGCTTAAGAGTTAATATTATTGATAAAGTCTTGGTGAGTGGGCCTTTAACTGCGCACAGGAGTACAATTAAACCCATGCCATTTTTGGACACCTTACTGTGTGCTAACTATTGCCTCAGAACCTGGCCCAGACATACAGCACGCCCTCTGGGAAGGGGCTTGATATATATGTCTTAAGTACTAATGCAGGTGATGGGAATGAGAGCTGAAACTGCTATGGCAATAAATATAGTTATTGTTATCTCAAAGGCTAGCTTGTCTTTGCAATTTTTTGGAGTGTAGAAAATGTAATTGTTTTAGCCGCTTTTATAATTTTTAGCTAGAGGAATTAAGGATGCTTTTATTAAAGAAAAATGCTTTTGATTATTGCTTTATTATTTATGGGGTTGTAGGAATCTATAGTTGTAGGGGGATTTAACATTTGAAGTTTTGGTTTTAGATTTTTGCGGTTTTTTTTTTCCCTTGTAACCTATTTTCCCACTAAATAATGGGTGAATTGTAGAAATAGAAATGTGGTAGGAATGTACCACTGATTAGCAGGTAATCACATGTGCCTTGGCCTTGGAGTCCTGGCTGTTGCTCCATGGCTACTGTTGAAGAATGAATAATGGCTTGCTTTGAAGAATATGAATACAGTATTTTGAAGAATTATCTTTATGGACACCTGCTTAGCCCTGAAGTGCAGACGGAGTTACCAAATGTTTGTACATGCCCCCTTAGTCTTGAAATAAAAATAGAATAGTTGTTTGTGCAGAAGCTTGAGAGGGGTTTTGAGTAAATAAAAAGGACAGCTTCTTGAGCTGGTGTGAGAACGCACCAAGTGTCTGTGTCTGTGTCTTTCTTTATCGCCGACTCCACGCACCCTTCCTGAGCTCCGAACTCGGCTGGAGCTGGACTCCGGCAAGTGGCTCCATTCTCCTGCCCTGTTCTGTAGCAGTCACTTCTGCAGCATCCAGCTGATTGTCTAATTCTATCAGCTAGGCTTCCGCCAGCACTGAAGCTTTCTAACTACAGAGAGCCACCAGTCAGGTGGACAGGTGGCCAAACATCCTGTTGAGACTGAGAGAAGTCGAAGGAAAGACGAGAGTCAAAGACGGCGGTGACTGGAGCCAGCGCCATGGAATAGCAAGCTAAAATTCCACCTGTGACGCTAACATCTCATATAGGTGCCAGGTCACTTCCAATCCCACTCCCTACTAATGCTTCTGGGAAAGTATTAAAAATATCCCAAGGGCCCAGCACAGTGGCCTAGCAGCTAAAGTCCTCACCTTGAAAGCACTGGGATCCCACATAGGTGCCAGTTCCAATCCCGGCAGCTCCACTTCCCATCCAGCTCCCTGCTTGTGGCCTGAGAAAGCAGTCGAGGGCAGCCCAAAGCCTTGGGACCCTGCACCCACATGGGAGACCGGGAGGAGGTTTCTTGCTCCTGGCTTCGGATCGGTTCAGCACCGGCCGTTGCAGTCACTTGGGGAGTCAATCATCTCTTCCTCTCTGTCTCCCCTCCTCCGTGTATATCTGACTTTGCAATAAAACTAACTAAATAAATAAATCTTTAAAAAAAAAATTAGCCCAAGTATTTGGGCCCCTCTGCCCAGGTAGGAGACCCAGAAGCTCCAGGCTCCTGAGGCCTGGCCCTAGTCCCCTGGTCATTGCAGCCATTTGAGGAGCTTATCAGTAGATGGAAGGTATTCTGTGTATGTGTGTGTATGTGTGTGTGTGTGTGTGTGTGTGTGTGACTGGTGTGTCTGTCTCTACACTCTTTGCTGCAAGTTTGTGCTGCAAATGAAAATAAATGAATATATAAATTAAAAAATACGTATACCCCAACTGTAGGCAACTGCCTAGGTTGCACTGTACCTAGGCAATTGTTACACTGCTGGGAGGAAAAGCAGCCAATAGCTGGCAGGCATCCTAGGCCTATTTAATGACAAATTTGTGTTAACTATATCAGTGTGCCAGCATACTTTCGTATCTTTTTTTTTTTTTTTGAGGATATGTTATGTTTGGGGACAGATGTCAGCACACCGTCACACAGGGTCTGAGGACCCAAGCACGAGTGTGCATGGGCCTGGGTGAGCAGACACGGCCCCAGGCTACACGGCACACTTACAGAGGGCCCAGATTGGGGAGATTCATGCTCGTGGGCATTAGGGGCTGTGGATCTGAGAAGTGGGTCTGGAGATGTGGGAGGGACGACTGCTAAGAGAGAATGTGACAGGTGAGGAGTGACTTCTAGAGGACTTCCACCAACCTGGCTACTGCACTTGCAGGTAAAAGAGGAGGTCAGACATAGCGATTTAGAGGAGGGAACCCAGAGGACCTTTCAGGGCCAAACTAAGATATCCACCCACATGGGAGACCTGAGCTGGGCTTGTTCATATCAACCACCACCTACTGATGCACAAAAAAGCCATGAATGGGGTGGGGTGGCACCTGCCTGGCAGGGCTTGAATACAGTACCCGCCAGTGAGTGCTGGGGCAGAGGGTGGGTCATGACACTAATCAGCTCATGAGAGATCTGAGTCTGGGAGCAGATTCTGTGAGGGATCATGAGCTCATCCCTGTGAGACTGCCACACCAGCTGGTTTGCTCAAGGGCTAGGGTGGTGATGGGTTGGGCTAAGCATAACCATGGAACTCAACAACACTCACGGTTTACTAGGTTTAGAAATAGGCTAGGCTGGGCCCGGCGCGGTGGCGCAGTGGTTAAGGTCCTTGCCTTGCATGCCCGGGATCCCATATGGGCACCAGTTCTGTCCCCGGCAGCCCGCTTCCCTTCCAGCTGTGGCCCGGGAAAGCAGTCGAGGACAGCCCAAAGCTTTGGGACTCTGCACCCGCGTGGGAAACCCAGAAGAGGCTCCTGGCTTTGGATCGGCATAGTATCGGCCATTGCACTTACTTGGGGAGTGAATCATCGGACGGAAGATCTTCCTCTCTGTCTCTCCTCTCTGTATATATCCGCCTTTCCAATTAAAAAAAAAAAAAAGAAAGAAAAGAAATAGGCTAGGCTGATTCAGACAATATACCTGTAGTCACACCCAAAAATATCATATGGGTTGAATCAGGCCTCAACATCCACCACCGCGGGCGGACTGCCAGGTAAGGGCCTCTCATCCACTGGCCCATGTGAGGTCTGGGAATGGTCCTGCTGAGGGAAGTTGGGAAACTCCTGGTGGATTGTAGTTCCCACTGATGAGTACATGAGTCAGGGCTAGGTGTTGGTCAGGCCAGATAGGGTTGTTTCATTTGTCGGCAGGTGTGTGGGTTGATTCTGAAGAGACTGGACTTGGTAGGGCCAGGCCAAACCATAGCACACTGGTATGTGCAGGAGCCAGGATGGGTGTCAGGCCATGCCAAGCTAGGCTAGGCCATCATACCTACTGGTTTGCATAAAAGCCAGAGACGGGGGCAGACTGGGAAGGGTTAAGCTCTTGCACCCATCGGAAAGAGTTGGGACTGGACACAAGCCATGCCAGGACAGGCTGCAACATCTGATAGCAAAGGCCAAGATGGGTAAGGGGTTACACCAGGATCAGAGCAACCACTGGCATGCACAAGATCTATGGCTGGGAAGAGGCTTGGTCAGGCAGCTAAGGGGACACCCAGGCTAAGCTGCAGTTCTACCAGTGAGCACGACAGCTGGAATGAGAAACAGTCAATTGGGCTGGATATGGCTACAATATCTCTCAGCATGGGTGTGGACTGGGTCTGAGGTGGGCCAGACTGGGCTAGGCTACAGTACCAGCTGGTGCTTGCAAGAGCCAGTGTAAGTGTAGGACTGGCTGGGCTGGGTCTTGACACCTGCTGAACCACATGAGAATTGGATCTGGGGTGGACCAGGCATGGCTGAGCTGTAGTCCCCAACAGTAAGAGCCAGAATGTGCCAGGACAGGAGGTGGGCCAAGTCAGCCTGGGCCAACAACCCACCAGTATGTACACAAAATCTGCTCCTGGGAGCTGACCTGATAGAGGAGCTTGGGAAACTCCTCTGTCAGGATGCAGTTCCTACAGGTGAGCACAGGAATCAAGGCTGGGAGCAGGCCAGGCCAGGAAAGTACCTGCCAGCACACAGGTGAATCAGGGGCAGGCCAGGCTGGGCCAGTTCATAGCACCCACTAACATGAGAACCAGGACAGGGTGCAGGACAGGCCAGGTTGGGCTACAACACCAGCCAGTTCACATTAGGGCTGGCTGTGCTGGATTAGGCTGTAGCACCTGCCAACATGAGCTGGAACTGGGGACAGGCCAGGCCAAGCCACGCTGGAGCACCCCCGGTGGATGCTGAGGTGAGGTGAGACACGCCATTCTGGGCTGCAACTCCCTCCATCATACGTAAGACACATAAGCCTGGGTGCTCCTCTGCTGGGCCTCTGCTTCAACTGGTGAGCGTGAGAAGTGAAACTGGGGCAGATCAAGTTGGGCAGAATTACAACAGCCATTGACCTACCTATCTTCGGGGTTAGGAGGACAACCAGGCTAGGCCTAGCCACTATATCTGCTGGTATATGCATGAGCCAAAGTAAGTGTGGGCTGATTGTGTATTGCTGAAGCATCAGCTGGCAAGTGGGAATGGGGGCAAGGACTGTCAGACTAGACACAGAACCACCTGGAAAGTGCAAGATCCAGTGTTAGAAGTGAGCCTCATAGGGAAACTGTGGGTACCTCTTTGATGGGCTGCAGCTCCCACCGGTGAGCCTGACAACAAGGGCTGGGTGTAGGTCTGGCTACACAGCAGTGGCACCTTGCAGCGTGAGTGCGGGTTGGATAGAAGGTCAGTTGTTTTGAGCTAGGCTCCAATGCCAATTGATGTGTAAAACAGAGCCAAATGGAATGTGTAACTAGACCAGTCTGCTGCACATCCCATCATGTGCAGGAACATAGGCTGGGGTCTGGCCTGGTAGGGTTATTAGAGGTCTCTCCCACTAGATTGCAGTTCCCACTGGTGTATGTGAGGGCAAAGTGTATGGTGGGCAGGGTTGGGCTGGGCCGCAGTATCCATTGTTTTACATATAAGATGGGGCTGGGGACAGAACTGACTGGGTGATTGCAACCATCAGTTTGTGTGTGTAGGCTAATACGGGTGATGGACTGAGCTGGACCCCACATTGACTGGCACACACAGGCGTCAGGATGGGGTCACCTCTGGCAAGTTTGCTTTGAGGTCCTCCTGCAACTGGATCACTGGGCTCAGAACTCCCAACCACGGGGAAAATTGCAGGATCTGTGGTCTGATCATGGAATGCATTTGTCAGAATTACATGGTTGCTGAAGCCTCTGCGGTTGATGGCATGCCTAGGTGCTCGTGGGGGACATGACAACAGTTCATTGAGGCCTGCAGAGGAGGGCTAATACCATGGAAGGCAGAACAAATTGGACAGCTCTCCCAGCCAAGTTTTGACAGCAAATATCTGGGTAAATGGAACCTGTACGGTGGACAACGTCAGCCAATGGATTTTGGAAGGATTTCCTCAAACTTGGAGCAATGAAATCAAACAGACTCTCAGAACTATCAAAATGACTTAAGCAGTACTTTCAAATGCTAGTTATCAGGACCCTGGGATGACATCAGCTGGCCTTCTCCCATCCATTCCTGGGTACTGATGCAATTGGGTTGCTGGGAGTGGCTCTCTCCCCTTCTCTCTCCATTTTCCTCAGATACAAAGAAAAAAATAATTTGGAGGCAGTTGTCTTGTCCACTTTCCCCCATTCCTTGACCCTTGCCACCCTAATTAGTGGTCCACAGGGGCATGCATCCTTTTCAACTATGTAAGCACCATTAAAAATAAAATGAATTTGTTATTTAACCAAAAATAATCATGCAATACAGTGGCATTGAGAGGAAGGACTTGCCCATGAGGGCATCTAGGGCAAGTTTTTTGCAAGCAGATGCATAGGGCAGGAGCTTGTCTGTGCTCCAGGAAGAGTGATGGGACTGACATAGTTAAAGCTGAGCAAGCAAATGGAGAGGAAGTAAGGGTAGATCCAAATCTGCAGGTGTGTAGCTGAGTTATGACTAAAAATTCCTGAGTTCTGAGCAAAACAAGTTCCTTTTGTGAAATTTAAAATTCCTTTTAAACAATTTCCCAAAAGGAACTTGTTTAAAAAAATAAAAACATAAGTGCTACACATTTTTCATCAAATGGCCAGTTTAAATTCTGGCTACTCAGCTTCCGGTTCAGCTCCCAGCTAATGCATTTGGGAAGGCAGTGGAAGACTGTCCAAGTGGCTGGACCCCTGCCCCCCACATGGGAGACCTGAATAGAGCTTCTGGCTCTTGGCTTCAGCCTGGCCCAGTTCTGGTCATTGCAGCCATCTGGGCAGTGAACCAATGGATGGAAGATTTGTCACTCTCTCCTTCTCTGTTGCTCTGCTTATAAAATAAATACAAATAAAGCAAGCAATCAAACAACAAAAAACCTTCAGATGACATCGCTGGGTTGGCACTGGATGAGCATGTCTGGAGCAGAGGGGAAATCCATGGCTGGAGAAGCAGACTGAAGAGATGACACTGTGTACATGACAGAGAAGGGGGCACCAAGGGAGTGATTGGATGAAGGGAAGAGAAGCACAGGACCTTCAGTGCTAGGTGGTGGAGCAGATCACACAGTCAGGGCAGCATCTTAGCCACGGCAGCAAACATCTGCCCCCCACTGCAACTGTGCAGCCCCAACCCCACCCATAAAACCAAGCAGCCCCAGACATGCCCACACACCCTATGTCTTACTACCTGTTGGGGACGCCACTATCCAGCACATACTCTCCTCCAGGGTGCTACCCAAGAAGCAGGGGTTCTGTGGGGTTGGGGGTGGGTAGCCGTAGGCCAGGGGTTTCTGTTCACACCCATGAAAAATCAAGACACAGCCTCCGGGCCCAGAGCTGTGGCCTAGCGGCTAAAGTCCTTGCATTGAAAGTGCCAGAATGCTATATGGCCACTGCTTCTAATCCCAGCAGCTCCACTTCCCATCCAGCTCCCTGCTTGTGGCCCGGGAAAGCAGTCGAGGACAGCCCAAAAACTTGGGACCCTGCAACCACATGGGAGACCTGGAGGAAGTTCCTGGCTCCTGGCTTCGGATCGGCACATCATCGGCTGTTGCGGTCACTTGGGGAGTGACGGAAGATCATGGGACGGAAGATCTTCCTCTCTGTCTCTTCTCTCTGTATACCTGACTTTGCAATAAAAATAAATAAATCTTTAAAAAAAAAAAAAAAAAAGAAAAGAAAAAGAAACAGCCGCCAACTGGCGTCAAGTAAGATCTCACCAAGACCCCGGGACTCCTCCTTCCAAAGGGCCAAGTCTTAAAAAAGCAACAGTGACCTTGGGAGATCAGAACACAGCACCTGAGGGCTTCACACAGATGGTCCCAGGCAATAAACGTGTTGAAGGCTGGGAGGACGCACCTGCGCTGGCGCAGAGGGACAAAGCCAAGAGAAAGGCAAAAAGGGAGGAAGGAGATCTGAAATCTTGGGAAGATCCTCTGTTTTCTGGGAATCATCTAGAAGGCCTACAAGGGGGCAGCCGTGTGGCTATGTGGAAGGAGCAGGACATGAGGCTGAATGCCAGCCTCAGAACCTACAGCCGACACCACCCGAATGTCTCCTCTATGGGGTTTGCAAAGCTCCCAGTTTGGGGGAGCACGACAAGCATTGTTATCTTATTATATATATTTATTTAATTTTATTTGAAAGGTAAAATTAAAAAATGAGAGATCTTTCATCATCTTGTTCACTCCCCAAATGACTGTAACTGCCAGAGCGAGGGCAATGTGAAGCCAAGATCCCGGAGCTTCTGGGTTTCCCGTGTGGGTTCAGGCTCCCAAGCACCTGAGTCATCTTCCACTGCTTTCTCAGCCACCTTACCAGGGAACTGGATCAGAAGCGGAGCAGCCTGGAATGGAACCAGGACCATGTGGAGGATTAACTTACTATGCCACAGCGCCAGCCCCAAGAAGTCCTAATTTAAAGGCTTCAAATGAGATGGGCATCAGGCACAGTGGCATTATGTTGTCACCTGGGACATTCACAGCCTGCATCAGGGGCTGGGTGATTATACTGCCTATGCAGCTTCCTGCTGGTGTACACCCTGGAAGGCAGGAGATGATGGCTCAAGGAGAGTACTGTCGCTCACATGGGAGACCTGGATGAAGTGCTGAACGTCCACTTTGAACCTGGCGCTGGGCAGGGCAGAAGACTTGATGACTTCATTTGTTTCTAAACAATCCTAAGCAATCACTGATCCTTTGAACCTCTCCAAGGTTCTGCCTTTTCCTAAATATCACAACGTTGGAATCATGCAATACAAAGCCTTCTTTTAAAACCTCTTCTTTTTTGGGCCCGGCGCGGTGGCGCAAGTGGTTAAAGGTCCTCGCCTTGCACGCCCGGGATCCCATATGGGCGCCGGTTCTAATCCCGGCAGCCCCACTTCCCTTCCAGCTCCCTGCCTGTGGCCTGGGAAAGCAGTCAAGGACGGCCCAAAGCTTTGGGACCCTGCACCCACGTGGGAGACCCAGAAGAGGCTCCTGGCTTCGGATCGGCATAGTATCGGCCGTTGCGCTCACTTGGGGAGTGAATCATCGGATGGAAGATCTTCCTCTCTGTATATCCACCTTTCCAATAAAAAAATAATAAAAAAAATAAATAAATCTTTAAAAAAAAAAAAACTCTTCTATTTTTTAGAAAAAAAAATATTTTTATTGGAAAGGCAGATCAGATTCATGGAAAGACAGAAAGATCTTTCATGTGCTGATTCATTCCTCAAATGGCTGTGACAGTCGGAGCTGAGCTGATCCAACGCCAGGAGCCAGGAGCCTCTCTCCCACATGTGTGCAGGGTCCCAAGGACTTGCTGCATTCTCTGCTGCTTTCCCAGGCCAAAAACAGGGAGCTGATTAACAGTGGAGCAGCTGGGAGTCAAGCCAGCACTCACATGGGATGCTTGCATTTGCAGGTAGAGGATTAGCCAATTGAGGCATCACACCACCCACAGTATATAGCCTTTTTATCTCAAAGTGGCTTCAGCGATTCACAGAGCCGCGTGGACTGAAGGCTCCTCCCTAACATTTCCAGACCTAACAACCTATTTCTTTTCATCACTGAATAGCATTCCATTATCAGGATTCATCAGTCTATGCGTGATTCACTTCCTGAGGAAGAGCTTTGCTGCTTCCAAGCGTTGGCAGTTGTGAACAAAGATATAGTAACCATCCAGGGGCACTGTTTTTTCTGTTCTTTCTTTTTTTAAAAAAATTTTTTTTTTTAAGATTTATTTAGGGCTAGCACGACAGTGTAATGGTTAAAGTCCTTGCCTTGAACATGCCTCAGGATCCCATATGGGCGCCAGTTCTAATTCTGGCAACCCTGCTTCCCATCCTGCTCCCTGCTTATGGCCTTGGAAAGCAACAAATCTTTAGTGATTGACTGTTCAGCTCATGCTGAGCCTACTTTTTAAAATATTTGTTTATTTGGAGCTGGCATGTAGGCTAATCCTCTGCCCTGTGACTCCTGCATCACATATGGTGCCGGTTCATGTCCCAACTGCTCCACTGCCCATCCAGCTCCCTATTTATGGTTTGGAAAAACAGAGGAAGATGATCAAGTTCTTGGGCCTCTGCACCCACATGGGAGACTCAGAAGAAGCTCCTGGCTCCTGGCTTCAGATCAGCTCAGCTCCAGCCATTGCAGCGATTTGGGGAATGAACCAATGGATCGAAGACCTCCTCTCTTTCTTTCTCCTCTCTGCAAAAGTTCCCTTCAAAATAAAAAGAAATCTTTAAGCTATATTTTTATTTAGGGTCCGGCACCATAACCTAGCAGCTAGGGTCCTCACCTTGTATGCACTGGGATTCCATATATAGGCACTGGTTCTAATCCGGGCAGCCCCACTTCCCATTCTGCTCCCTGCTTATGGCCTAGGAAAGCAAGAAGGCCCAAAGCCTTGGGACCCTGCACCCATGTGGGAGACCCAAAAAGAAGTTCCTGGATCCTGGCTTCAGATCGGCGCAGCACCAGCCGTTGCAGTCACTTGGGGAGTGAATCATCAGACAGAAGATCTTCCTCTCTGTCTCTCCTCCTCTTTGTATATCTGACTTTGTAATAAAAAAATAAATAAATTTTAAAAAAACACCAATCAACGGCATATCTCTATGATGTTAGTAAAATCGCCCTATAATTCTTCTAGTTAAAAAATTATGAAAGCAGCTAAAACAGCTACATTTTCTATGCTCTAAAGAGTTGCAAGGACACTCCTTGTGGCGGCGTGCCAGCGGAGCAGGAGCTGCGGCCATGGCGGGACAAGCATTTAGGAAGTTTCTGCCTCTGTTTGACCGGGTGCTGGTGGAAACCATCACCAAAGGAGGCATTATGCTCCCGGAGAAGTCCCAAGGGAAGGTGCTGCAGGCGACAGCAGTGGCTGTGGGATTGGGAAAGGGTGCAGAGATTCAGCCAGTTACTGTCAAAGTGGGAGATAAAGTTCTTCTGCCAGAATATGGAGGCACCAAAGTAGTTCTAGATGACAAGGATTATTTTCTATTTAGAGATGGCGACATTTTTGAAAAACACGTAGCTTGAAATCTGTTGAAATGGCATCACATGAAGCTGCCCATTCCACTGACGGTCTGAAATCTTTCATCACGTAAATAATTTCTGTGTCTCTTTTATAATAAACTAATGCTGTCTAATGACAAAAAAAATTTTTAAAAATAGTTGCAAGGACAAGCTAATCTTTAAGGTCACAGTAACTATATTTGTTGCCATAGCAGTTTCCGCTCATATGCCCATCACTTTCATTGGTTTGTAAGATTTTTATCAAGCCCTTTTCCAGAAGGCATGCTACATGTCTGGGCCAGATTCCATGGCAATGGGTAGGCACACAATAAGGTGTCCAGAAATGGCATGGGCTTAAGTGTGCTCCTGTGTGTAATTAAAGGCCCACTTACCAGGACATTATCAATAACATTAACTCCCAGCTCACATCAGTTACAGAAGCCACCTCACAGGAGCAAACAACAATGCCTCAATAGATCACAGAATTCTTAGTGCGATGGTTGAGCATCCATGCAAACAGGGAGCGAAACTGAGTCAAGGTGGTCAGAGAGACATCCATCGGGCCCTGACAAAGAACTGGAAGCTCCCCTGGGCCCTGCCAAACAGGGGAGCTGTTCTCTTCACTCCTTCGTGTCATCCACACCCTCTGCACGGACCCGGCATAGCCTCTATAGCAATTTAAACAGGAAATCAGTATAAAGAATTACTGGGTTGGGAAGCTAGTAGTGAAGTATAATAGGTTAAGTTTCTGCCTCTGTTGTCAGCATTCCCTATGGGCACAGGTTTGGATCCGGATGCTCCAGTTCCTACCCAGATCGTTGCTGATGTGCCTGGGAAAGCAGCAGAGGACAGCTCAAGTGCTAAGACCCCTACATGGGAGACCTGGGAAAAACATCTGGCTTCAGTGTGTCCAAGCCTTGCCTATTGCAGCCATTTGGGGAGGGAACCAGCAGATGAACGATCTCTCACTCTGTCTCCTCTCTCTCTCCAACTGTGACTTTCAAGTAAATAAATATTTTAAAAATGTATATAAGGAATTATTGAACAGTAATACATGGGAAATCCCACATGGTAAGAAAACTCCAAATGAGCCCCAGGTTTAGGAGGAATAAATCAGGAACAACAAACTGAGGAGTTCAGCCATCACCGGGTGAGGTAACTGCTGCTCACCACCCCGCGAAGCCTGTTTTTCTGGGCCTGCTGAGTTCAGCACAGTGAGTGGGTAACAAGAAGGCAAGACCTAGGCAGGACCCTGGCTCGGGCAAACCAGATCAAGTGACCGGAACAGGGTGTACAGGGTGTGCCGGCGCAACCAGAAAGGCCAAAGCACATGATTTCCACACTGCATAGGGAAGTTGCTGCAAGTTTTGGGGAGTTTTACAACAATGCTGCTTCTTCTTTTGTTTTTTTAACGTTGCATGAACCTGATGAGTAAGCATTAGGTGGGCCGACTCAGCAGGCTCACATCCAGGGACAGCTTATCACCATCTGATTGAGGCGCCTCCTAATCGACGGACGCCCTCTGGCGGTCGCAGCGGAGTGACAGCCTCCATACCCTATCTGATTAAAGCTGTTCATGCAAGGTACTTTTGTTTCAAGCTTCTTTGTTGTCAATCTTTCCATCTTGTCTTTTCCCACGTGCCCGACTATCCAGCAGGCCCTTTTGCCAACGAATCTGTACACATCTGTACGCAACCGTCTCCTTCGCCCTTGGAAGCACACAACCAAGAGCCTGGACTTAAGTCCCACCCTCTGGGAGGAGCTCCCTCCAGCGATCTGTTGCGGTAGCAACTGTAAACAGCTGTAATGCACTCCTCGGCTGTTGTCACGATGCCACGCAAAAATAAATTTAAAAATATATATATATAAATAAATAAAATCAAAGCCACTGTGAGGGCCTGGCGCAATAGCTTAGTGGCTCAAGTCCTCATCTTGAATGCGCCGGGATCCCATATGGATGCCAGTTTTTTTTTTTTTAATTTAAAGATTTATTTTTATTTTTGTATTGGAAATGCGGATATACAGAGAGGAGAGACAGAGAGGAAGATCCTCCGTCCGATGATTCACTCCCCAAGTGAGTGCAACGGCCGATGCTATGCCGATCCGAAGCCAGGAGCCTCTTCCGGGTCTCCCACGCGGGTGCAGGGTCCCAAAGCTTTGGGCTGTCCTCGACTGCTTTCCCGGGCCACAGGCAGGGAGCTGGAAGGGAAGCGGGGCTGCCGGGATTAGAACCGGTGCCCATGTGGGATCCCGGGCGTGCAAGGCAAGGACCTTAATCACTGTGCCACCGCGCCGGGCCCATAGATGCCAGTTCTAATCCTAGCAGCTCCACTTCCCATCCAGTTCCCTGCCTGTGGCCTGGGAAAGCAGTGGAGGACGGCCCAAACCCTTGGGACCCTGTACCAATGTGGAAGACCTGGAGGATCCTCTGGGTTCCTGGCTTCGGATCAGCACAGCGTCAGGCGTTGCACTCACTTGGGGAGTGAATCATCGGACGGAAGATCTTCCTCTCTGTCTCTCCTCTCTCTCTCTCTCTATATATATATGTATACATATATGTTTAAATATATTAAAAAATCTTTTTTAAAAAAAAGCCACTGTGAGAGGGATGCTGTACCACATCCCATTTGCCATGAGGTTTGCATGAGTCCCCATCCTCAGAAACTAAGTGGCCTGGGAAAGAACATTTTGGATGTGGAAATAAATGCGCTAATTCTTTTTATTATTATTATTGATTACATTGCATCATGCGACACAGATTTACAGGCACTGGGATTCCTTCCTCCCCTCCCCAAAACCCGCTCCCCCCCCCATGGTGGATTCTACCATCTTGTTGCATTACCACAGGTCAAATTCAGTTGAGATTTTTTTCCTTGCAAGCATCTACAAAGCATAGAGTCCAGCATCTTATTGTCCAGAAAAGTTTCAACAGTCTCTGGTCTGAAGATACAGCCGAAAAAGTATCATCCCAATCAATTAAAAGCCCTGACATTACATCGGTAACAATTTATAACGTAATGGAATTAGTTGACATGGTATTGTGTAACCAGCATGTTCAAAGAGAGAGAAAAAAACAAAACAAACAAACAAAAAAGAGTGCAAGTTCTGAACCACATCCTATGACTTCTACATTGACATTACAATTATTAGTTTATATACAGCTGGGTTCTATGCACCTTAAAATGGCTATAGATTACTATTCAGCTGTCTCATGTCTATTTTAATTTTAGTATTTAGCAGTTCATAGTGTTGAAGCATGATTTTGCAGAACCTGGCTGTTTTTTTGGTAGTCTAACTCCATAACTGTAACAAGACATATGTCAACAGTTTAGGTGAACAGTTTTAGGAGGGGTGTGCAGAGAAATCTTCAATACCCTAGTGAGGAGTAATTAATCTTCGTGTCCCACCCAGTGAGTTATAAGTGCATCCCCACTGCCCATTTCATGTTTCTAAGATTTCCTTGCTGTTCTCCATCTATTCTAGGTTTTTTTTGTTTGTTTATTTGTTAGTTTATTTTGAGGGGTTTCTGGAGCAATCCTGATGGTCATTATGAGAGAGGGTGGGGACCCAAAGTCAGAACCAGGCAAGAACCAGAGAAAGCTCCTCTCCCTAGTCCCGAAGGAAGTTTACTGTTTTGTTTCTGCGGACCGCTCAGTACTCCTGGTTGTCGTTCCGATGACCTTGGATCCTGCAAGGCGGGGTATGGGCTTCTTCCATCCCATGTGGGAGATCCAAATGGAGATGGGTGACCTCAGAGTTCTCAGCCGCCGAAGGCACTCCGATTCCCCGTGGTCTCTTTGGCGGTTGGGATGTAGTCCTCGGAGCTCGTACTGCTAGTCCTTGGTGAGGATCTAGGATTCTTCAGGGTTGGGATACATTCCTCTTCCTGTCTGCCTGCTCCACTCCTGCTCTGTGTAAATGCGCTAATTCTGAGTCAGGACCGAGTCCATCTCAGAAGGCATGAAAAAATCTCACTTTCCAGCACACACTCCCCTGGATCAATAGGATCCACTGCAGAACCCTGTTGCAAGCTTCCCATCACTCCAGGCGCTCTGTCCATGAACTTTATAAACAGTTGTGAATTCCCAATACCGAGATGCAAGGCAGAGTTACACTCTCATGACCTGTGCTTGCACAGGCTCAGGTGGAGCAGCATCTTGGCCAGCTGCCACAGCCCCCACAGCAGGCCATCTTCCCAAGCCCCTATCTCAGACCCCCCCATTCATTTATGGAGCCAGGGATTGTTGTGGTCGTTGCGTGTATCGTCCACTGAGGGCGCTGTTGCTGTCCCCTGTCACTCTGAGCCAAACCTTGGCACAAAACTCAACTAGATGCTTTTTTTTTCCTTCCACGGTCTCTCTTGTTTTTGTTTGTTTGTTTGTTTGTTTGTTTTGTTCTGTTGCTAGGGATAGGGGAGGAAATAAACAGGGGGAGATAAAGGGAGAAGCTCCACCCACCCTCCCAACCATCCCAGGATCCCTGCTGTGTGGGGCATGCTCCAAGGGCACTGCTCAAGTGGTTTTGATAGTTCAACTGTTCTGAATTGCTGCCAGTGTTGCCATTCCAAACACGATGCAATCTCTCCAGAATCAACTGGCTGATATAATCCACCCTACAGTCTCCATTTGCCCAGATTTTCACTGCCAACACTTGGCTGGGGTAGTTGATAAATTTGTTCTGGCCTCCGTCCTCTGTTATGGTACCAGGTGTCCCCTGCAGGTTCCATCGGACTGCCATATCCTCCGTGTGCACCTGGATATGCCATCCACTGCTCCACTTGAGCCACTGAGAAGAGTCAGCTTTGACACATGCACTCCCTGGTCAGACCGTGGAACTTGCAATTCTCTTCATGGTTGGGGTTCTGAGATCAGCAGTTCAGTTGAAGGGATCCCCACAGAAACTTCATCGGAGGTGATCCCAGACCTGATTCTTGTGTGTGCTTGCCAGTGCAGGGTCCAGCAAAGTCCATTGCCTCAATTAGCTTATGCATATACTGGTGGTTGCAATTGCTAGGTCAGTTCTGT